ACGACTCGAACTCTTCTTACGATAAATTGGATAAACTCATAAACAAAAAAAAAAAATAGCATTGAAGTTGATTTTTATCGAATTGTCTCCTAAGGTCTATAATCGCCTCAAAAGGTCCATGACAAAGGAATAGGAACTTGGGATGTAGTGAAAGAAGTAAAAGTAGAGCAATCTCTCTACCTTGCTATCGTTGCTAGGACTAGAGCCCATTCGTTCGTTGGGATTCTTCCAGCTTAGACGCTATTACCAGGTGCTTGATCCGGTGACTTTACTTAAACCCTTTGGTTGGGTATTGGTGCAACACTACCTATTGAGAAATCCTTAACTTTAGGTCTTTTTTTAATTGATTCACTGAATTTGATTCAATTGTGAAAATAACACGGCGTGTGTATCTAGGGAATAGTCGCTGCAAGGCGAATTCTTCTTCTCTTCTCATCAGCGTGATATGCGCGAGATCTGTTCTGCTGCCAAACCATCAAAGTTAAAAAAAAGAACCCCGTAGCAAGATGAGTCAGTAGTGCATTTTGGATCTTACAGTACTATTTCTGCATCTCCCTGACCAAATCCACCAACATTAGGATTACTTGTTAATGGTTGATCAAATTGGATGTATTCGCCCTCTGAGACAAGAAGTTCCGGTCCTGGAGGGATAATATCAACCACTTGACGTCCATCCGAAGGAATTGTTATGGATATTTCATATCCCCCCTCCCCCCCATCAATGAACCAGCTGATTACCTCTTAGGTCTATTAAGGATCAAATGTTGGAACGAAATTAATAAACGAACATGGTTCAATGTAATTGACCTCGCTCAAATGGGTAGGGTGTTTTTGGAGCATCTATTGGGCTGTGCGCGAAGCCCATTAAAATAAAAGGAAAGAGCTGAACACCGTTGTCATAACTAAATACATATGACTTGAGAGAATTCATATTGTATATAAGGTTTTTTGGTGACTAAGACGAGAAACTGCCATAGCGAACGAACGAAAAGGAACGAATCGTCATGAATCCCTATCCGCCGAGTTGCTGATCTTAAGATCTTCCTACCTATATTCAAATCAGTACAAAGGCAAGTATCTATTTGGAGGGAAAAAGATAAGGAAAAGATGGACTATGCCACATAGCCGCTACGAATCCAGCCTACTTGACTTCTTTAAAACTCCAATCGATATGAGATACCCGGAATGTGGGTACTGGCATAGACACCTCACTCCTCGCCTTATAGTACTAATGGGAGAGGCCAGGCGTTCTAGCTATATAAGAAATCAATCAAATAAATAACTTCGACTTCGTAAATATGATAGATTTTTTGCCTCTCCTCTCCCTATGGTCGAGCCTACACTTGCCCCCCTAATACGATGATGTTTACATCGTAAAGCAACTAGTCCCCGGTTCTAATTCGCCGTTGAGCAGAACAGAATCCCTAATAAGAAGAACTCTTCCAAACTAGCTGTTGAACGAGGGAACGATCGGATCTAGTTCATGGCCTGTTCGAAGTAGCACGCGCTCTGGACGCATCTTTACCGATAGAAAAACATCGCAGTCCATTTGAGAATGATGGAGTTCCATTCCTTCTTCGGCCCGAACCGAAGAATCTCGTAGATTTTTTTCTATTTATATTAAATATAAATAAAAATGGTAATTATTCTAAATTCGTAGTTATTATCAATTAATTTAATAAGTCCAAATATTGCCTTGCATGATCGAACTTCTTCGTCTGCATCATACATATTGACACTGTGCAATTCCCAAAATGACATGCAAAAATGCTAATGCTGCAAGCTAATATTTGCAGCCTCAAGAACCTCCCTATTACAGAACCATTCCGTCGGGAAGATTGAGCCCTTTGATGTTTGGTAGCCAATGGTGAGAGGCTGGCGACAAGGCCGAGGGATCGACCAATTCAACTTTTTTTCTCATCTCATATAGCTGGAAAAAGTAGAATTGATCAGAACTTTCCTTCACTTCGTTTTTTGGATTTTCTTCATTTTCAATGAATAGCTTGGCCATTTCTTTTAAATTCAGAATAGAATCTATCTCGTCGGATTCTTCCCTTTTTTTCCTAATTGCAACACATATCTCGATATAGTGCAACAGGATGATAGAATTTTGCCTAATTCAAAATTCTCGATTTTATGATAATCAATTTTTTTAGTAAAAAATGAGAAACAATTTTGACTTTTGCAAAATTGTAAGAATCATTCGAAATCTACTTAAATTAAATCCACTAAACTCATGAATTTAGGGTGCATATATAGTTGATCGATTTTTTGGGAATAATTTAAAAGAAAATTAAAAAACTGCCGAAAATAGAATGCAATAAATGTTTATTGACCTTTTTTGCTACTATTTATAGTAAATAGATTTTATATATATATATATATATATATATATGTGTGTGTGGTTCAAATGAGAACTAGGTACTAGCGTGAGAACCGTGAGAACTGCTATTTTTAATTGTATATACTGCTATGAATGATTGTGTTTTAATGCTATTTTTAACTAGGATGTATTTTATTAAAAATAGCAATAAAATTTGTATTAGCGTTTGTGAAAATGTTAGCACCATGTAATGTTAAAAATAGCATCATACACAATTAAAAATAATACCAAATATGGTTCTCACACCAGACTTAGTTTTTATTTGAACCAACCCCTATATATATATTATTTTTAATTAAATGTAATTCACATGTGCAAAACCTATTTATAGGGTGAGAGCATGTTTTTGGCATCGATTCAGTTATAACTGTTAGAAAAGGTGTAATTATTGTTGGGGCGGTGCCACATGCAGCCGCCCCACTTGATGAAAAAAAAAATTATTTACAACTGGTAGTAAAGGGGCGGCGCCGCTCACATGCTGCCGCCCCATGTGTTCTGATTTAATATATATATATATATTATTACAATTTGTTAGGTAAATTGCCCAACTTCTCTGCTATAATAGAATGCTTCTTCATAAGAGAAGAATGCACAAAACAGAAGAGAAAAAAGAGAGGAAAGAAAGAGAAAAAGAAAGGAAAGAAAGATAAATTTATGTCCAAATATCGGATATAAAAATATCAAAAGATAAGAAACAAGTGATATTTTTATTTGTTTCAGAATATTCTTTTTATTACTAAGTGCTCAATTCTCGATTCCGTGCCCGTTCACCGGAGCTCGTAAATCTGGTGTGCTACAGATTTAGAGACGTCTGCCGTTGTATCTTTGGGGAAGTTACGCCTGAACCGTTAGCTGCCACACGAGGCGTATTCTTCTTGCTGAAAGAGTTTTTTACTCGCCTCGGCTAAAATCTTTCTGTTTTTCAGTTGTATTTTATTTTTCAGTTCAATTGTAATTTTCGATTTTTTAGATTATTTGTAAGAACTGAAAATACATATCAGTTCGTAGAATTCCCGTGTAATTTCACACAAAATATCCAACAATCGCAAGAAGAATATCCAGTCATCCTACTGAACTGATGGCATCTACCGGAGCAGGTTCCAACTCTCAACATCCGATCAATCATTTACCTGATGTCCATGTTCCTACAGTTAAAAAGCCCAAAAAATTCAACGGGCTTGACTTTAAGAGGTGGCAACAAAAGATGCATTTTTACCAGACCACTTTGGGTTTGGTAAAATACCTGAAGGACGACCCTCCGGTCATTTCTGAGAATGAGACCAATGCAGAACTACGCACTGCGTACGATGCTTGAGGGCAAGGTGACTACCTTTGCCGTAACTATATCCTGAACGGGCTTAGTAACGAGTTGTACAATGTGTACAACTCTGTTGGTTCTGCCAAGGAGCTTTGTACAATTTGATCTTCACTTTTTGGTTGCTTAGCATGACAGTCCGTAGATTACATTTATAAATGTGGAACTTACAGAAAGTTCTTGTATTGCAGGTGAATCAATTGCTGCAGGTTGCACAAAAGTGTCAAAGCACGATATCTGAAAGCGGGCCTGATGGTGTTTCCCAACCAGATTTACAAGCAAAAAACAGTGTGATGTGAGTGAATTTCATTTCTGTTGATCAATTGTTTTGAAATGGCTTCTCCCGGGTGTTTGCAGCATGCGATTTATTGGTGCCTAAAAGTTTAGGGGGTCCTTTTAATTGAGTGTTTTTACTCTTCTAGATATATCCATGTAGTTAAATTATCATCAGATATTTTCTTCCTTCCCGAACCCCAGCCACAGACTACTTAGTTGCATAAATTGTGGTAGCACATTTTCAGTTTAGGCTGGTAGCTGGCAGAGCTATTTAAATTCTCACTTCTCCTACAGGTCAAAAGTAGAAAAGAGACATCGTTTTAAAATAAAAAAAAGTAGAAGAGACTTCATTCACTAATTTTTGGCTTCCTGATAGGTAACATATATCTGCATCTTTTAGCGATATAGTTAAGCTCTAGTTACCATACATCACTATGTAATGAATCTATATGATGGATCTGAGGTAGTGTCGAAGAATACCCAATTTATAATTGGAATCTATATATATATATATATATAGAGAGAGAGAGAGAGAGAGAGAGAGAGCGAACAAACATCTATAATCTATAATCTATAATATAAAAAGGTTGTTGGAAAAATACAAAAATAGTAAGTTGACTTTAAAAAATAAAGGTTTGACTTACCACTTTAAGTAATACATGCTACTTAAGGAAATAACTATGCAGGTCCCACCCGGTTAATTAATTAACATAAATTTAAGGAAAAACTTAAATTACGTAATTAAGATAATCAATCAATCCTACATTCCGAAATTTTGTTACACATTTTATTCGGATTTAGTGGGATTTGTTACTATGAATTCGAGATTTTGGAACACATTTTTAGCTGATTATCTGCGACTTTTTTTGTGTTCCATTGACTTACCAAAAAAATCGGATTTTATTAACTAATGACGCTGATTTCTCTCATATTTAAAATGATTCAGAATTTGTTCAACAAATGACACCACAAATCCCGTGTTCGATTTTTCAGAATTTGTTCAACAAATGACACCACAAATCCCGTGTTCGATTTTTTATTTTGTTAACAAAAATGAGATGAGATTGTCTTGCCTAAATTATCTCACTTAATTGTTCTTTTGTGGAGTTTTATTGTGGAGTTTTAATAATTATGTAGATATTCTGTTCACATTGCAATATTGTGGAGTTTTATTTATATTGTCACGCGCTTAAATATCTTACCCCCATCCGGAATTAAAATCTGTTCCCATAGCAATATCTTGTAGTAAATGCAAGTCGCTGCTACAAGTTGCATTAGTTAAAAGTGAGACGGATAATTTACAAATCTTTTTTTTTTTTTTTTTCTCTTGGAAATGTGATATCTGAGGTCGTGAATAGCATGAAAGACCTGATGGAATTCTGCACATCTCATAAAATTGGTCCTATTGGTAAACATATCCTCGTTAACCATCCTCTTTTCGAATTTCCACATATGGTACTCTAAACAACACATTTCACAAATTTCTTAAAAATTCATATAGTTTTGCAGAGGGCTTGAAGAATTTCCCCCGGCACCCCTCGACCCCCAAGCTTCAGATGCAAGAAACGGATCGAGATGTGGGCCAACAAGGCCTGCCAACTGACCGCAACACTCTCAACAAGCTCATGTCTATGCACCCAGGGCTCAACGGCTCAATAAACAACAACCAGATGGTTGTTAATCGAGGAGGACCCATTACTGGCTCGGCCCAGGCTGCTCTTGCATTGTCTAACTACCAAAATCTGCTCACGAGACAAAGTTCTACGAACTCGGCCCACAATAACAGTAACATTAATAATAATAACAGTAACAACAATAATGATAATGGTAATAGCTCACTTAAGCAGGAGGTTACTTCTCCTTACAGCAGCCAGAGCCAAACCCCAAGGCTTTTGGGTAATTTACCGCCATCAGCTATGAATGGATTTTCACAGCACCAAAAGTTGCAGCAAAATCAACCGGTCCCTTCACAAGGCGGCGGCCAGGTTTTACAGCAGCAAAATCAAGGTGGCAATAGTATGCCGAGGAATAATGCAATCGCGAACCCTCCACCGAGT